GGCTTGGCAGTGTACCTCAGCTCATTCAGGGTGGAAGACATTTCTCTTCTTTAGCACAGGGGGTAGCTTTGGTCCCAGACTCAGAGATGTGAGCCAGGCAAAAAGCACAGCAACTTGTCTTTTCCTTTCATCTCAGGAAAAAGACTGCTCTGCAGTTTCTCTCTCCATTGCCTGCGGTTGCCAGATGGAACACTGTGCTTCTACCCTATTCTGCAAACTTCTGTGTGACCTCAACTGTGCCTCTCTAACAAGGGACCCAAAATGTCATACTGCCAAAGGTATCTTCCCCAGCATGTGGCAGCAGGATTGCTAATTGTGCTGGGACAGGCAGGAGCCATTCCAGCCATTCCCTGGGTTTCGGATGCAAGCTGAATCAGCTTCAAGCTTTATTCTCATTTTCCCCACAGTGACACACATTCCTGCACATTTTCCCTTGAGGTCTGGAGATGCAGAATGCACACAGCTGAGGGTTTCTTTCATCCCTTTCACACCTTCTTCCCTCCTTCCTCCCCTGGCCATTTCTTTCCCTGGCTTGCCAGCACTGCAGAGTGAACCTGTACTCTAGTCTCTGCCTTTGGTATCAGGAGTTTGCTGCTAGCAAGTGCTAGCAAGTGCTGATTCTGCTGGTGATCTCTGGAGGTAAGGTGTGGCAGTGAGTGGGAGCTGGGAATGTTTTTTACCAACTTAGAATGAGTCAAAGTGCTTAGATTTGCCCATGTCTTTCAGTTTCACTGTATCTGGTATGTTCTGAAGGCTCTGTGAAACTTGCAACCCCTCTAGGGCAGCTAGAAAATGTGGCAGCATCTGACTCCTCCTTACACCCACCAGGGAGGGCAATGTGTGTTGTGGGACTGTGTCCTATGTGCTTGTGTCATGATGTATAAATTACCTACATAGACTCCTTCATGCTTAGCAGCGAGGGAGCTAGAAAAGCAGCTACTTGGAAAAGCAGCAGCAGCAGCAGCAGCGAGCCATCAAAAATGGAATCAGTTCTGTTGCCAGAATAATTACTTGAGCCTAAAAATGTGAAGAAATTCTGAAAGAGCCTCTGCAGCCAAAACATTCTTCTGCTGACTGGTTTGCTGATAGGGGACAGAAAAATGGAGCAACCCTTCTAATTAGTGATGGGAGCTTGCTGCCTCAGGATCAAAGGAGAACGCCGTTTGCTGAATCAAGCCAAGATCAAAGTGTCCTACGTACAGGAAGGGCCCATTCCTCTTTCTGCTGACAGTGGTGTACCCTGCTCATCCTCTGGGCATGCTGCTTACAGGGCTGCTTAATTACTAAGTAAGGAGGAGACTGCAGTCACAAGAGAGGGTGTAATGGCCATTGTAATCCAATTCCGAGAGATGATTTGGTGGTGATCGATTCTTTGTCTCTCTGAAGTCATTAAACTTCTGAATGCTTAGAAAATACCTGGATTGTGTAACTTTGCAGAAGGAGACTTCTTACAACATGCTTTGCTTGATTTTTCTGACCTCTTATGTGTAATCTGACTTAGTAGGCTGTATGTGTGTGCATATATCTATATTTGCATTTATATCTACTCGAGGGAATTGAAGTCCTCATTCCTTAGGCTGCATTGTAAAATCCTTATCCCAATAGATATGCTAAATTTGAAATCTCTTTTCCCCTCTCTCCTCTGCCTCCCTCCTCTTGCATTAATAAAAACCCACATTTTTGCAACGCCCAATTTTGAAATGTTTAAACACGAATCATTTGGTTGAGTTTTCCTAGTTGGTGTCACCCTGGGTAGACAGGTTTTTAAGTGTGTGTGACTTTGTGTGCATCCATCTGTGTGTTTGGGCCATGACTGTTAAATGTGTGGAAGAATGCAGTCACAAAGATACTTGCATAGATGGACAAGTGCATGTGTAAATGTTACGTTTTCTGATAGTCTTGAGATGGTGCAGCTTCTGAAGAGGGTTTGGCCTTTGCTCTTTCAGCTGTCTCACTGAGAAAGGAGTCATGTTACAGTACTGCCTGCCCAGTGCTGTGCTAACACACCACCCTACCTCCCTGTTCATGCTGCTGGAGGAGGAGTTTGCCTACCTTTCCTCATGCCTTGTTCAATCTTCCTTGTCAGAAGTGGCTGTGTGTGTTTTCCCCAGCTGTAGCCCTGCAGGTGCCATTCAGCTTAACAAAATGAGTCCTAAGTGCCACCTGCCTTGTATACCAAAAGAGCCAAAAAAGGGCCAAGGAGCAGTTTGCATGCCCTGGGCTGCCTGAGGTAAAGGCAAGCCTGAGGAACTGGCTTGCCTGGTGGTTTAACAAGACAGAGATAGGACAGTGTGTGTGTGGTCGTGGGGGGTTTTGCTCATCTTGCAGGCCAGGTTCAAAGCAGCTCCTCTTGACAAGAGAAATGAACGGAGACCTCAGCTCCTCCTTGGTGCTTCCCTGCTCTGTGGCATTCAAATTAAAAGGGATGCTGTGGTGCCTTGAAAGGAAAAGGAGATAATGTGGGCTGTAGGGTGTTGCAGTATAAGAGTGGGGTACTGGCAGGGAAAAGTGAATATGTGTTTTCTTTCATCTTTAAAATTGTTCATGAGTACATTGCGAAGTTCTCAAATGTAGCAAAAAGTATTTTTATGGTGAATAAATTATGCATGTTCTATTTTAGTGTTTTTATTATTCTGCAGGATGTTTACAATCAACTAATAATAAATATTAGGAGTAGGAAGAGGGTGATTAGAAAACCTCATCATCTTGATGACTGAGTGATTGATGTAACTAATCCTGCAAAGCAAACTGCAAAGTCTGACTTTTCCAGTAAATTGGAACACTCACACTTATGTATTACTTTTTCTGAATGACAAGGATTTGAATGTGTGGTTTTTTTATGGAAGGTAAAGTGGAAGGGATAAGGAATGAGACCGAAAAACACACAGTGTTGTTCCAAATTGCATGAGTAGTTTCTTTTCTTCTCATGGAGAGGATCTCATTAAAGCTACACTCAACATAACAGAAGAACTTCCCACCCCATGTTGGAGAGGGAGGTCAATCCAATAGATGTTCAAACCATTATGACTCCCTGCACACTGGTTAGGACATTCATGATGCTAGACTGGATGAGTAGTCGTGGCAAGACAGCCTTCAAATTTCAGCCTGCAGAAAAGACAATTCCTTGCTGGAGTCACATTCAGCAAGAGAGATCTCCAAAGTTGACATGGATCACTTCCAGGCTTTGGGCTACTGCCACTGCCTTGCCAGCCATAAGAAAATGAGGAGTCCAAATGCATTCCCAGCCTGTTGCCCACAGACATAGCTGGAAGGCAGATGCCTTGTGATAAAGGTGATGCTTATTCCTGGCTCTTCCAGTTATTTACTTCTGCTTGCTACGGAAAGACTTGCATAGGAGATTGATGGATTAAGGTTCCACCAGCTGTTTCTTATCCGCCACCTAAATCTCAGAGTTGTTAGCACTGGTGAGTAACTGTTTCCCTAGGGGTTTCCAAAACATTCCATATTTTTAAGTATGTCCCAAGACAATGAGGAAAGTCAGACTTGGGGTGCTTTTTCCCCACAAAGTAAGAAACTTGTGAACTTCACTTGAAGACGTTAGAGTGAAATTTTGTCTGACTGTGTTCTGAAGCATTTTTGAGCCTCCCTCAACTATGTTGGGCTTTAAAGGTGGGAGATGTGGATGGAGGAATGGAAGTTTGGAAGAGGCAGCTGAGTATTTGCCAAGTCCTGGAGTAGTGCAACTCTGGAGCAGTCACTTCAAACACCAGAACACATGGAAGGCTGTTCAGGTGCTAGAATCTTTGGGTTCCCAGCATCTGAAGCTCAGCACTTCCAGGCTCAGGTGCTGCATTTCTACATTAGGCAGTCTGGGAGGGATTTCAGCAGCCAAGCATGTGGGGACACTCACCTTTGCCTCAGGCATCAGCCTATTTGATATCTTGGTAGTTCAGATAGAAAACTCTTCTCATGAAGCATTTCACCTTCAGCAAACCACTGTCTCTTGGCAGAAGATAGAAATTTTTCAGGCAGCCCTTCCTGGGTTCAGAAGGAGAATAGGGTGGTCTGAAGATAGCACCTGGATGCTAGCAGTATTCTGCTGCTGGCTTGGAGCTTGAAAACTCCTTGCCTTCTTCTCCAGCACCCTCCCACGTGCTTTGAACAAGAAAATGGTGAGCTATCATAGAGAGATATACCTTTTTATAGTCAATATTTTGATTTTGTGGAGAAAAATGGTTTAAAGCATTTCAGTGCAACTTGAAGTGGTGGTGGAGACCCCTTGGTTAGTTTCATTTGACAAGATTTTGGTGGTAGGAACAGAGGTATTTCCCTGTGTGACTTGCAGACTTAAAATGGCAGCCTTGAGCTGTTGTACTGGGAAGCTGGTGCTTATCAGGCTTTCATCTTTGTGCAGTCTATGTGGAATGCAAAGAAGTGGATGGTAGAAATTCTGGAAAATAAATGAGATTTGATGAGATCTTCCAGTAGCAATAGTAATTTTTCATCACCTAAATAGAAAGGACTGGACTGGAAAATAGTTCAACTTTTAACCCTTTAAATTAAAAATATTGTTAAAATACATCTGGTTTTGCTGTACTTTATGACGCATAGAAGCTGGAGGAGAACTGTATTTCTTGGTTAATATTGCAGTTTCTTTTTCTCATTCCCTGGTGCTGGGTATCACTAAGAATGATGGGTTTGAAAACATATCTCTTTCTCTTAGAGACAGCTTGGTTGTTCTTATAGCCCTTTACCTGTTGCCAAAAAAAAAATCACTGCTGTTGTCAGAGGCTCTGAAACTAGAGTGCCCACAATTAAAAGGACCACATATCTACATTTGTCTGTAAAAAATGTCTGCATGAGAGCAGAATGATCTGTGAGGAAGGAATATAATTCCTTTTAGACAGATATAGTAGGGTACAGTTGTGTAGGAATGGGATACTGAGTTGTGACCTGCAAGTGTATGGGATCATCTGCAGTGCTTTGAACTGTGTGTCCTTCTCCTGAAATGCTTGAATTGTGTGTCCCTCTCTTTCCAGGTCTGGTGTGTGCCCTGGAGGTATCAGTCAGTTCAGGGAGTATCCAGGTTGCCCGAGGCCAGACAGCAGTGTTGCCCTGCACCTTCACCACTAACGCTGCTCTCACTAACCTTAATGTCATCTGGATGGTCATTCCTCTTTCCAACGCCAACCAGCCCCAGCAGGTAGGTCTTTTCTTACAGGAGCAGGTACTTCCTTGGGGCTTTCCTGCTCCCCACCATATTCTGGATGTAGGCCCTCTACGATGCTGAGTCCATGGTGGTCCCAGAACTTCACTGTCCTTTAACTGCTGAATGTGCTCTCTGGGTATCACATGAATCCGTTTTCTTCAAGGTTTTGTTAACAGATGCATGTTGTGTCCTTGCCTGGATGTGCAGCTGGGGCAAGTGTATGTGATACTGTGTTGCTGCCCTGGGCCTCTGGTAGTATGTGTGCTCAAAATAGCACAGGAAATGTAATCCAGGTTTTGGTGCACTGGATATGGAATTTGGAGGGCCTGGGGCCTGGGAGTTGCTGCAGCTTTAACTTGTGAAATCTATGTAAAATGTCCTCTAACACATAACTTCTCCTAGACTCATTGTCTCTTTTACTTCCCTTCTTATTTTTTCACTGCCTGTAGCTTTTGCAAGTCCATTCTTATGAATACTAGCAAATGAGAGTATATAATGGTGGGCACAGGAATCATAACCTGAGATTTGCTGGTCTGTTTTTTGCCCACATACTCTGACAACAGAAGAACGCCTTTTCTCTGAAATACATCTTGGGTCACACTGCCCTGATCACATTTTGTATTCAGTGTGAGAACCTGCACTGAAGAATATTTGCTCCTCAGGGACTTGGTCTGAGCACAGTCTGACTGGCGGAGGCTGTGCAGGTTCAAAGGTTGCACTGCCTGTCATCCAGCTCATCCCAAAGTCCTTCAGTAAACAGTGTCAAATCATGGCAGGATCTTACTGATGGAGACTCAAAATGATACTGTCCACAGATGCTTTTCTTCAAAGTATTCACTGACCTGCTGAGAGCCTCTGCTTCTGTACATTGATCCTGTCCAGGCAGGTAATGACTATCATATGAAGGAGGCTGGTATTGCCAATCCAGCTACACCAGAAGATTTGGGTATCTTTCTGATCTGTTATGAACATTTTTACTGATATAAAATGGGCTACAGAGTGTGTTCCTGTTTTGGAAAAAACACCATTGCTAGGATGTATATTGAGGTTTGCTTATTCAGAGACATTTTACTAACTGGTCCTTTTGGCTTTGGAAGCCCATGTTTTGCTTGCTGTTCTTCCTCCTTGCTCAGCTCCTGCAGAGTGTTGTTTGAGCCTACCTTTCTTTTGCAGGTTATTCTCTACCAAGGGGGTCAGATCTTTGGTGGTGCACCCCAGTTCTATGGGCGAGTGGGGTTTGCTGTGACAATGCCAACCACCAGTGCCTCCATCTTCATCAACAACACTCAGCTGTCAGATACTGGCACCTACCAGTGTTTGGTCAACAATCTTCCCGACCGAGGCGTCAGGAATATTGGAGTCATTGGACTTACTGTCTTGGGTGTGTTTATTGGTATTATGGGGGGAAGGGGGGAGGGGCAGGGACAAGGGGACCTCTGTGCATGACAGTGCATCATGAGCAACACAGTACTATGTGCCTTTGAGCCCACAGATATCCTGTGGTGAGGAATGGGCTGCCTTCTGGAGACTGTGGGAGTTTGTAGGGCACATAGACTTCATATGCAGGCAGTGTGTAATGAAGTTTTTAAATGTGGTGGAGAGAAAGTTTTTGGGTGGTATTGTGATATGGAGTTGCAAAGTAGCAGGAATAAAATATGAGGGCATCCCAGAGGGCTGAATGGAGCGTAAGGGGTTTGGTGCATAGCAACAGGAGGACAGAATGACTTTATATCTTTGCTTCCTTTCCATGAAAGCTGTTAGTTCTGGATGCGTCCATTGATGCTAAATACTCCAAAGTGCATGCCACTATAGGGATATGAAAGCAAAACCAAATCACAGTAAATTTGTCTATAGTTCTGTTAACTTTCACCATCCTTGCTATCTCAAAGACAGAAATATTCACCTTTTTTTCAAGGGAGAGGTCTAAGAGAACTGGGTCCTGTGAAAGTCAGCAGTAATCTGTAACCCCGATGGGCTGGTGGGTCAGGAATCTTTGTGTGAATTGTCTCCCCCCAAACCATAATGAGTTCTTGTCTGCTGCCTCCTTCTTGTCCTCTTGACAGCTCATGCCACTGTCCTTGCTTTCCCCAGCAGCACATGTCCGGAGTGAGCCTGCATTCCACTGTTTGGTCACATTCCCTGATTTGCTATCACCTTCCCCTCTTCTCTCGCAGTTCCTCCTTCTGCCCCGCTTTGCAGAATCCAGGGGTCCCTGGACGTGGGCAGCGATATCACACTGACCTGCAGCTCAGAAGAAGGCATTCCCCGGCCAACATACCTCTGGGAGAAACTGGACAATGTTCCCAAGTTGCCCCCAACTGCCACACAAGGTGCTCATTCTGTTGATTATCCTCTTATTTCCCAGGTGGCAGCCTGGGCTGTCCCTTGTCTGGGCTACCAGAGGTGGCATGGCTCACTGAGCGTCTGCCATCATTTGCATGGTGCCTTTATTGGAGCGAAGATTCCTAAAGCCCACGGTGGACAGGGCACCCTCCAGAGGCCACTTCAATTTTTGTGGGTTTTTCTGGTCCAGAAACATGTTCCCCATTGAAAAACAAGGATTGGGTGGAATGGAAAAGAGAGAGTGTGATTTCTAGATGTTGGCATGTGGCTGGAAATTTCAGCTGCCAACCCACCTGCATTTTAAACCAAATGAAAGACTTATAGAATGGAAGCAGGGAAAAGAGAGGCAGAATCATCCTGGGGAAATACAGCCAGCTTCTCACAGTTCTCCATGAGGAACTGATGCCACAGTTCTCCAATAAATTACTGCCAGAGATGCTTTTCAGATGTATAGAGAAGCAGGGCTCTGATCAAACTGGTGTTTCCCAGCCTCAAGTCCCACTCTTAGGTTTTCTTAGCCTAGGTGTCCTGATCAAATACTGACGGCTGTACTTTTGCCCTTTATCTTGCTGTATTTTAAGAATATGCCACCTTTCAGTTTAATATAATTCAGGAATGAGGAATATTGGCAGAGCAGGAGATGGGGAGCCCAGAGATGGGAGAGTGGGGATTCTGCAGAGCAAGACTGAATTCAACAAGTAGATCTGGGTATAGGTAATTTTGCATCTCTTTCTTCCCCATTCTTACACAATGCTGAGAGTCCCAAGCTTTCATCTGCAGAAATTCCTGTATAAGAAGAGAAGGAAACATGTAGTGTAAGCTCCTTAAGGCCTAATCTTGTCTCTGTGTGTGTATGTGCACACACAATGCTTCCATCTAAAGGTTATTTCCTAATTTATTTCTCTCTTAATAGTCTCACACCAAAATTCTCTATTTACTGGCTTTGCCTTTTCATGGTTTTCCTCAAGCGGGGGAGGGATTTAAATCCTTCTTTTCTCTCTGACTAGACCAAGTCCAGGGCACTGTCACTCTCCGAAATATCAGCACTGTGTCCTCAGGTCTTTACCAATGTGTGGCTTCAAATGCCATTGGAACCAGCACTTGCCTTCTGGACCTGCAAGTCATTGCACGTAAGTATTTTGCCAGGGGAGGCTTGGCCACCTGTTTCTGTCTTGTGACAGTAAGGTGTGTAACCATGTTTGCTGTGAGCCACCACATGCTTCTCCATCAGAAGACAATCATGCCCTGGAATGGGAACATTGCCTCTCTCCCCTCCCAAGCCACGCAGTTTCATGTGCTTACAGATGGCCACAGCCCATCCCTGATTTCTTCTTCATGCTCTGTTCAATCATCTCCACAGCTCATCCACGGAGTATCGGCCTGATTGCAGGAGCGGTGGCCACAGGTGCCGTTGTGCTCGTTGTTTGCATTGTTTTGGTGGCTGTAGCACTGTTCTACTGGAAAAATAAACACAAAGAAGAAGAAGAGGAGGAAATTCCCAATGAGATAAGGTAAGGGTCAGGGAAAGCTGGTGATGGGGGACCTCCAAGCAAAAGCTGTAGCTGACAGGAGTGAAATTGGAAACCTCATTTTTGTTAAACCTGAGTGTGTTCCCCCAGGTCAGATGCCCATATATATATTCAGAAAATGGAGGGAGAAAATGAAAAATGGTAACAACACATCTTCTTTTCAGTATTGCCTCTAATGTCTTTAATCCTTCTGCCAGCAAGCGGGATGGGACTTCATGTTGTTAGCTCTGTAGGAGAGTGATGTGGTGGGAATTCTGACCCATAATGCCAGCATAATGATAGCTAAAAAGCTTTGGAGATACAGCTGTGATATTCACCAGTCACAGAGGTTACAGTCACAGCTATCACTGTCTAGCACTGCCTGACTTTCTTTGAGCATGGGTTATTTGCCTCAGTGGCAAATTTGGCACCGGGAGCACACAGGACCTACACATAGGTAGGTCCCGCAGAGAAGGACGAGCAAACAGGCCAAGGAGCAATGCTGATTCACATTGGTGCTGTCCTTCTCCTTGGATCGATGACCCCAGCATGGTAGTTAGGGGTGGGGGTGTTGGACAAGTGGGCGAGTGTCCTCCTTATGTCCTCACACCTTCTTCTTCCCAGAGAGGATGAACTGCCACCCAAATGCTCCTCTGCCACAAAGACGTTCCACGCTGATGCATCCTCATCAGAGAACGACACCCTCACCTCCTCCAACACCTACAACAGCCGCTACTGGAACGATCCTAAAGCCAACCACGCCACAGACTCCTTCACCCGCTTCAGCAACAGCAACGATGCTCACCAGCCCCCCTTCTCCCGCTCAGGGAGCACGAGTGCCCGCCCCGTCTATGCCAACGGCGGCCACCCGTCCCCGGCTCCCCCTAAGACACTGGTGGTGACGGCCAGCACGGCACCGTCGCCTCAGGAGGTGATCCGGAGCAATGGCTCGGTCGGCAGGAAGCCACGGCTGCCGCACACCCGCTCCTATGCAGTCAGCCAGGCCACGCTGGAGCGCATCGGGGCTGTGCCCGTCATGGTGCCCGCCCAGAGCCGGGCTGGCTCCCTGGTGTAGGACCGTGTGGGCGGCTGAGACCTGAGCAAGGGGCCTCTCATCCCTGGTGGGGCAAAGAGACCCTACTCCTTCCTGAAAGTCAGTGAGGCAGTGGGGGGGTCACACACTTCCCTCTCCACCTGCCCTTCCCTCTCGAGGCTGCTGCCAGCTGGTGGGACAGCCCTGGCCCAGCCGCTCTCCCCCCAGCTGCTGGAGCTCCTCGTGCCAATGGACGCCACAGATGTGCCAAGGCCAGAGGAGCAGGGAGGTCGGGATGTGCTCCTGGGCTGCTGGGCCCCAGCTGGGACATGCACTCGGGCCTGACCCTGGGGGGAACTTTTGCTTTTATTTCCTGTTGGTTTTGTTGGGGACTGATTCCATCCATTTGGGTCTTTCAGGGAGGTTGGGGAGATATATATATATATATTATTTTTTTCCATTGTTGTTGCTGTTTTGTTTCCAAGAGGAAGATGACCTGTGTTGGGGCAGGGAAGGCTGCGCAGTCCCAGCTTCCCATGGCCCTGGCTCCACTGTTGGATTAGGGAGCACTGTGCACTGGGGCTGGGTGTGAGGAGGCATGGGACAGGCTGGAGGGGAGATGAAGGCACAGCCACCAGCCCAGGCAAGCTGATGGTCGGGTGAGGGTGTGGGCCAGGAAGCATTTGTCTTTATTTTTTGCGGTTCTTCCCCCCACCTCAGCACACACAGACACACACAGACACAAGCAGATCCTCAGACTGGGTGTTTCTCCTGCACTAGGCTGGAGTGCCACCAGAGCCCTGTTTATAGCTGTGGAGGATGCAGCCGTCTGAGCATCTTTCCCTGAGACACTCGGTGCAGGGCAAGGCTGCACCACTGCTGCTGCTGCTGAAGCTGCTGCTGCTGCTCTAGGGCTTGGATTTCTTTTTTCCCTTTTTTTGGGGTGTTGCTGGGGTTATTCAGAAGGCAGAGAGGAGCAGGGTGGTGCAATGGAGCACCAGGCAGGCTCAGGAGGCATCTGTTGCCCCTGGGCTGCTCTGATTTGGGGCAAGTGACTTCAAACCCCACAACTTTGATGTTTGCATGGTGGATTTTATTCATCAGGCTATGCAGGGCTGGGCAGCATGGCAGGGCTTGGAGCCTTCATAGAGAGGCATCAGTTTTCATTCCTGCTCTCCCACGTGCACAGACATGTTAGCAGGATTTGTTTCCTGCTTTAGAATGCAGAGGCTTAATGAAAGCCCACACACTATCTCTCTGCCTCTCCCACTTCCTCAGTGTCCTGGGACTGGGTACTGGTGGCATCTGCCAGTGGTCCTGCCATCTCCTTGCAGCCTGGCAGGTGGTTTTGGCTGGCACCTCTATTTTTTCTATTGCAACTAAATAGCCTTAATCAAAGCCAAGAGTTGAAACCTCTGTAGGAATCTGATGCCATTTGGAGGGCTGGACTGAGGGCTGGGATTTCCTCTCCTAGAGAGCACTGGTTCAAAGAGGCCACACCTGGATAGGTGTTTTGGCCCTCCTGCATAACACCAAGCCTTGCACAGGCAAAGGCAGCAATCACCTCAAAAAGCACCAGAGCCCTCCCAGGTCTGCTCTTGGAAAAGCAATGTGGGGAGTCACAGGTGACTTCCATAGTTCTCACATTGGAAAAGGGTCTGTTTAAGCCAACAGACTCTTCCTCATCCCCACTTTCCTTGTCCCGGCACGGCTTTACTTTCCCTAGCAGTGCACAAACCTTGGGCAGGGCCTTCTACCTGAGCAGTACAAATGCAAGCACAGACTCTGAGGAGGAGGAGGGAGAGGTGAGGGCTGGGTTCCCACGTGGACACAGTGGCTTTTTGGGAGACTGGGAGCTCCCAAGCAGCACTAGGTTTGAAGCTTGGCTGAGATTTTGTGCCTTCTTTTCTTAAAATAGAATAAAAAAAAAAAAAAAAGGAAAAATGAAAGAAAAAGGAGATAAAAAATCCAAAATCCCCTCTTTCCCCCTCTACAGCACTGCATCCAGAATGTGTGCAAAACCCCCAGGTGGTTACTCCGTGTGTGCACACATTTCACTGGTGCAGTCCAGTTTCCTGCCTGTCTGCTCTCTTTGCTGCTGGGTGGTAGGATTGATGGGGGAAGAAGAGTGGCTTTAGAAACCCTAATGGGGGAAGGAAAAAACCCAAAACAATCAAAGAAAAGCCCAGACACATTCTCTCTGCTTTTGTAACAACCCCTGTGTGACATTTACAGGAACACTGCCCTCAGCAGGCACCCTCCTCTACTGGGAAAGCTCTTCTGGTTCCTACCCTCCATAAGACTGTTTGCTCCTCTTTCTTTGTTCTTTCTAATTGTATAAAATTCAATAAAATTTTATTCATATAAAAAAAGGATTTCTGCCTGCCTGCTGCTACTTTTTTCTTCCTCCTGCCTAATTCTGTAACTACAATGACTTTGGCCATTAGTACTTATCCTTGATGTGACTGGCAGTAGGCAGTGACCATGCAGCCGAGAGCTGAATGTTATTAGGCCAGCCTATTTGGTAGTGAGCACTGGTACGAGAGCCTTGTTTTTCCCATTCATAATAGTCTGACACATTGCCCTTGAATGTACAATTTCCCAGGCTTGCAAGGTCACTACTTCTCTGGACAAAGGTGAGTTTTATTTTCTGTCTTTTGGCAGGGGAGACCCTATGCGGCTTTGAGTGATGTGGGAAAATGTTTTTTATAATTGCCAAATTTTGCTCTTGTATTGGCTTTCCAAGGAAAATGTTTTTTATAATTGCCAAATTTTGCTCTTGTATTGGCTTTCCAATCAAAACCACGGCACGTTTATCCCAGATTCAAAATATAAGGCAGTCGCTGATTTTCTTGGGCATTTGAATAAGTTTGATGGGGGAAAAATATTAGGAAATAAACAGAAATGCTGGTCCCTACAGACAGAGCATGTGAAATTTCAGTCTCTGAGCATTCACACCCTCAGAGCATTAGGGGGCTGCAAAGAATACACTTCTTAGTCTGTATCAACAGCTGCTACCAGAAGGTTATAATTAGTTAGGGCAACCTGATGTTTTGCCAGCGATTTTGCATTTTTCTCTCCATGTTTCATTTTCCCTATTCCTTCTCTAAAATCTCACAGATATTCTGAGAGTGATTATTAAAACCAGAAACCTGCAGATCCATCAGCAGTGGTAACTCAGCCCTGCTGCACATGCATCATGTTCTCATACCTGGGTATTTTTCAAAACCTACTTCCAAATGCTCTTGTAAATGTGTTTTCAGCTATAGACCTTACTGTAAGTAAAACAGCTGCATTGCCATTTTCAGGAAGTTGTCATAGGAATCTTAATGTTTCCATTTATCACCTTTTGATTGTGCAATCTTGATGTGACATTAGTAGCATCTTCACATTTTATTCCCATGATAGCCCTGTCAGTATTCTGCTATACTATCCATCCCTTGCTACTGGCTTGCTCCTTACATCATCCTTCTGCATGTCTTGTTGATCCAGAGCAGAATTTCCTGGGATGCAGGATGGTTTGCTAGGTTTGTGCAGCACCTGGAATGCTGGAGTTTTAACCTTTAAATTGTGCCTAGTGAAGTGTTTCTGCAACACAAATAACTGAAGAAAACAATACCAGTTAGATAACTTGATAGTGCTCCAGAGTTTTAATTTATCACTAAAAATCAAACAGAGGTTCAAGCTATTGCAGCAGTAAGTGAAAGTCACCATTGAAATGGCTGAGTTTGCTGACAGCCTTCAGTTTCAGATGTGCCACAGGGATTGTCCATCACATGCCATGGATGTTGCTTTAAATGTTGGTACCTATGGCTATGTCACCTTCTACCAAAGAATTCAGAGAGCAACTTGTTCTGAAACAAGGATTAACTGTACTTTTGAGTGCTGAGACAGAAATAACCATGAGAGGATGCTTCACACTTTAGAAGTGGATATCTTTTTAGAGACTGGTGTAGATGAGAGCTCAGTTAAAAATATTTGGGAAAACTGGTCTGCAGACTGCCAGAAGTTTTTTTTAACTTACGCAGCTTTTGGACTCATATCTGCTGATTCAACTGAACTAAAAAAAATTAAAATTGTTCAGATGCATGCACTTCAACACACTCTTGCTGAAACACAGATGAGTTTCCAGCGGAAACCAGTCGAACAGATGGTATCCTGTCCAAAACTGCCTGGTTTCCCTATGAGGATGGGGGATGCTCAGGACATCAGTCTTTCTTACATCATGGTTTAGGCCCTCATTAAAAAGACATCAAATCAGGGTTGCCTCAGATGACACCCAGGAGGTAATAACTGGGTGATTGATGGTACTGGGCACAGGAAATCAAACACATATTTTTATATTGGAGGAACATTCATCATTATCATGGTTTCATCAAGTACATTGGTAAGCTCTTCCAGGCTACTGGATTTTTCTTGAAAGCAACATTTGGCATCCCAGCCTCATTCACTTCAGGCATGCAAGTGTCTCTTTGTGTCTGCACTCTAACCTGGATCTTCCCGGCCATGGCACTGGTTTGTGAGCAGGTGGATGGGTCTGTGCATGTGTCTGCCAGCACCAGGTAAACCCAAAAGGGTTCAGCAGATTCTCTTATGATGGTCTTGAACATTTCTAGCTTGTTGAAGACCGAGGAAGTACATGCCTTTCACAAGTTCACTTCTGAGCAAACCCAAGTGCTTACGTTAACTCATGGCCTCTGTTTAACAGAAGCAAAGCTGTTGTAAGGTTTCTCCATGACTGAATTGCTTCTCTTTCTGTGCTTTTTCCAAGGGCTGCTGGCTATTCTGCCTGCAGCTTGTTTTCCTGATGCCAGCAAAACAGTGCTCACTCACTATGCCCTTGTTACAGGTCTGCTCTTGCCATGAGAAAGGCAAGAGGTGCTGGTGAGGATCAGGAATATGGGTGTTGAGAGAGGGAATGCAGTGTCACTGAGCTCACTGAGCCACGCCTCTTCTTGGCTGCGGAGTAGATGGACATCAGGGCCAAAGCAAGCCTTGAAAGCAGGGAGAGTGAAATGCGGTGGCTCTTTTTCTTCACATTGCTTTCCTCCCTGCCTGCCCCTGTGCATTGCACGTGCCTGGAGGATGTTACTGAGAATTACCAGGTCTGTGACCTCCTAAGCAAGGGAGGGCACATGCAAGGCATTTCCTGAGCCTTGGCACTAGCTCAGAGCTCTTGTTGACTGGTGGACAGCACAGAGAAAGGTTTCCTTAGGTCACCTACACAGCAATGGAGGGGGAGAGGGAGATAATATGTGGCGAGAGCTTTGGACACGTGAATGCTGTTTTTAGCAAGGAGAAACTTGGTAGTCTTGGGACTTCCTGACTCTAGAGCTCTGGCATATTTTCTTTGATGTGTTTCCATGGACAACGACATCTGAAAAAGCACTTTTCCTTTCCCTGTAGTAGAGAGCACTGCTGATGTGCAGGAATGGGGCAGTGCACATGGCCGAGGATCAGACTCCTCACTAAGCCTTCTAATGCCATTTTCTGCTTGTTGTTTGTTCCTGATTTCCTTCTTCCTCCCACTTCCTCTATAACATGCTTGAATGAGAAAGTGGGTTGGCAGGAAATTTAATCTATCCTGTAAAAACAAGCAAAAAACCCCCAACCCCAGAAAACCAATAGCAGTAAAGAAGAGAGATTAAGACGCAGCCTGCGTGGTTGGTTGGCAAGTGATGCTATAGCAGTGGATGTAGCCTGGGTCAGGTCCTGGATTTGGACTTATTAAATCATACTTGGGAAGGGATGATGACTTGCTTCCAGTCGATATGCTTTAATGGGAAAACTGATGTGGTACATGCTCAAAGAGAAACATTGGCTCAGGGACTGGACACAGTACAGCCCAGAGGCTCTGTAGTTTCTTGCTTGTATTTAAACCCACTATGTTTGGTAGAGTCTGCCTTCCTGGATGCTATCAATATCTCAGGTAGCTAATTTTTCTTGAATGATCACAAGACCCTCCGGCAAGCAATCACCAGGTTGTTGTCCATGTGGACATTTCAGATAGGGAAAAGGTGTGAGATATGGATTGCCGCAGCACTCTTTAAATTGTGGCAGTTTCTGAGGTTGCAGAATAGCCCAGAGACTTTCTCTAGTGCTTAGCATCACTGGTATACCCTTTGCATCTGGGATCCTCTCCTCTCTTTCTAGATTGAGGCTTGTGGGACATTTGCCCCTGTTCTCCACATGAAGGACCAAAGACAGCAGGGGCTAGAATTAGCTCCATAGAAAATACAGCACGACTTTAGACTCTCAAAATTAAGATTCTTAGGAATAGAAGCTATTACAGAAATGTGCCATGGACAGAAAGTAGCTCTTTTGGCTGTGGTTTTCTGCTGGGATTAATTGGTATAAAATCAAAGACTAACTTTTGGTGACACAAACGACAGTAATAGTTGTACAGGCACACAGATCTCCCACCAGCTCTCTCCGGGGGCAGAGCTCAATGGCCACAGACTGCAGTCTGTTCCTGCTATCTGCGAACACAATCTCCTCAGTTTTCTTTGCCCATCTTGCTGGTGTGTGAATGCATCCTCCACTTGCTCATCCGCGCTCCGGGACAGCGCAGGAGGTCGAAGCACGACAGTAAAGGGTGAGAACGCCCCATGCTCTTGCTCAGCCCAGTCACCCAGAGCATACATCCCCTTTGTTTCCCGGGATAACCTGTGGCGTGGCTCCCAAACCGCGGTGCCTTTCGCCGCTCCTGCCCTCATTCCACCAGTTGCACACTGGCCAGGGAAAGTTGGTTACTTCTGGGAAAACAGGCGGGGAGCTTCGGGGCGATGTCGGCAGAGCGGCCGCACATTCCAATTCCCTCACTGCCGCCGGATTTGGGTCACAAAGATCGCCTTTTTTGGTGGCTCTACGCTGACATCCTCTGGAGGGATGCAGAACTTCAGCCGCTGCCGTGCGCTGCTGAGCTCGCCTGCACATGGCTGCACCTCCTTCCAGCTCCCGGGATGGCTTTTCCCCCTGTGATCCTGCACAGAATAGAGTACTCTGCCCCTGGAGTGTGGACACCTCTTCCTTTTCCCCCTGCGATTGTCTCTCAGGATATGCTCTCACTACTGCGGTATCTGCTATGCTGGGATGAAGAGGCTTGAGTACTTTGTGTCACAGGAGCAAATGGTCTTGAGCACAGCCTGCCTTTAGCTTCCCAGCTCCTGCTCTTGTTATGGTGGTCTGTGGTTCAAAGGCCCGGGGAACGGGCTGGTGCTGGGGCAGTGCCAGGGAACAGATGGGGCACAGTGTAGAGAGCTGCTGCCCCCACATTTAACTGCATAAACCTGTGCAACTGGCTTTTCATAGGCTCACAGCTGGCTTAAATTTGTCCTGCTGCCCTGCTGAGGCTGAGAGGAGCTGCCTGGCTGAC